GATAAGAGAAGAGAAATAGAAGCCATACCTAAAACTCATGGATTCGAAAATTAAAATGATAAAGCTTGTGAGTATTGATTCGTTTTGATCCTTTCCCTTTTCTTCCTTAGCAGATTCTTTGTGTTCTCTTCTTCTCTTTTTTTTTCTTTTATTTGTTTTGTTTAAACGTGAGTGTGTGAATAGAGTGGGTTAGGGTTTATACCTGGCAGATCTGCGGCTATTAAGTTCGTCGCATAACACAATATGGGATCGCATAAGTGTTATGCGGTGAACTTATGACTGGGCAGCCTAGATACACTTTGCGATGCAAAATTCGATCGCAAAGTGGGTATGCGAACCACATAACTGAAAAACCTACCGCATAGTTGACAACTAATGTAGCCAAATTCTCTGCTTGAGTCTGTGATGACTATGCGGTTCGCATAGTCATTATGCGATCGCATTTGCCAATCTGGACCTCTCTTTCCTTCAGTTTCCTCAGCACTAGGACCTTGTTTATGATATTTTGGGACTACCTGCACTCTAGCACACATATCAACTTGCTCAATCTAGACTACGTAAATAATAAGAACTAAAAAACTACAAAAGAGTGTAACCACACATGGGTTTCCTCCCAAGAAGCGCTTGATTTAACATCGCGACACGATGCAGTTGACTCATTTTAGATTATTCCTTGGTGGGGGATACTGTTGGACTATACCTTATAGCAAATTGTTCTATCAAATGCCTTTCTCCTGTGGTACCGAGGTAATGCTTGACTCGTTGTCCATTTACCTTGAAAGTTCGAGTCCCATCCTCCGACTCCAGTTCAATAGCACCATACGGGGACACACTCAGAACTTTGAACGGGCCAAACCATTTGGACTTAAGTTTACCCAGAAATAACTTGAGACTTGAATTGAAGAGTAAGACCAAGTCACCAGAATTGAACTTCTGCTTCAAGATCTTCTTATCATGGACAAACTTCATCTTCTCTTTGTACATGGCTACACTCTCATAGGCATGGAGACAGAATTCTTCCATCTCATTGAGTTGTGTCATCCTCATATTAGCATCCTTGGCCCAGTCAAGATTCAGCTTCTTCAATGCCCACATGGTTTTGTGTTCAAGTTCCACTAACAAGTGACATGCTTTGCCAAAAACCAACATGTACAGTGAAGTGCCAATGGGGGTCTTAAATGTTGTGCAATATGCCCACAACACATCATCTAGCTTTCTTGACCAGTCAGTCATGTTTGCATTGACACTTTTCGCTAGGATGTTTTTGATTTCTCTGTTCGAAACTTCAACCTGACCACTCGACTGAGGATGATAGGTGTGGCCACCTTGTGCTTTACACCATACTTTTCAAGTAGCCCGGCGAAAGCCTTGTTGTAGAAATGAGACCCACCATCACTCAAGATGGCCCTTGGAGTACCAAACCGTGTAAATATGTTCTTCTTCAAAAATGTGGTTCCACTCCTTGCTTCATTGTTAGGTAAGGCGATTGCCTCGACCCATTTAGAGACGTAATCCACAGCCACCAAGATGTAGGTCATGCCATAAGAGCTCACGAAGGGCCCATAAAGTCTATCCCCTCACACATCAAAGATCTTGACCTCTAGTACAAAATTCATAGGCATCTCATGTCTTTTAGATATTTACCATTGTCTTTGACATTGGTCACATGCCTTGACCATTTGATTTATGTCTTGGTAGATCTATGGCCAATAGTAGCCATATTCAAGCACTTTTTCTGCCATCCGATTTCCTCCATGATGGGCCCCAACCGCAGAATCATGGCATGCCTTGAGAATTGGCATTAACTCATCTTCTGGAACATACCGCCAGACGATATTGTTGGTACAAATACGAAACAAAAAAGGTTCCTCCCAATAGTAATGCCTACACTCCCGCAAGAACTTTTTCTTTTGATAAACTTCCAATCCATCGGGAACAAGGTCACTAACCAAGAAGTTAGCGATGTCGGCATACCAAGGAGCAAATGTGTTAGACAATGCCAATATGTGTTCATCTGGAAAGGCATCATTGATTTCAAGGTCTTCTTTTGGTCTCCCTGCCTCTTCAAGACTAGATAGGTGATCCGCAACTTGATTTTCCGTCCCTTTCTGATCCTTGACCTCAAAGTCAAACTCTTGCAACAAAAAGACCCACCGAATCAATCTTGGTTTGGCATCCTTCTTCTCTATAAGATAGCGAAGAGTAGCATGGTCGGTGTACACTATCACTTTGGACCCCAACAAATAAGCCCGAAATTTTTCAAAAGCATAGACAATGGCGAGAAGTTCTTTCTCGGTCACAGTGTAATTCATCTTAGCGCCATTGAGTGTCTTACTTGCATTGTAGATAGTATGAAGAATCTTGTTATGACATTGTCCAAGCACCGACCCAATAGCTACACCACTTGTGTCACTTATGAGTTCGAATGGAAGAGACCAATCGGGTGTGACAATAATAGGTGTTGTGGTGAGCTTTTGTTTCAATTCCTCAAAGGCCTTTAGGCACTTCTCATCAAACACGAACTTTGCATCTTTCTCAAGGAGTTTGCACATGGGATTTACAATTTTGGAGAAGTCCATGATGAAATACCTATATAAGCTGGCATGCCCCAAAAAGCTTCGGACACCTTTAACTGAAGTAGGTGGAGCAAGTTTGGAAATGATCTCGATCTTTGCCCGGCCAACCTCTATGCCTTGTTTGGAAATTTTGTGGCCCAAAACAATGCCCTCAACCATCATGAAGTGGCATTTCTCCCAATTTGGCACAAGGTTTGTTTCTTCACATCTTTTGAGCACTTGTCTAAGATTGTCAAGACAATGCTCAAAGGAATCACCCACGACAGAGAAATTGTCCATGAATACCTCTAAGATATCTTCCACCATATCTGAGAAGATTGACGTCATGCACCTTTGGAAAGTAGTCAGAGCGTTGCATAGCCCAAGTGGCATCCGGCTAAATGCAAACGTCCCATATGGACAAGTGAATGTTGACTTTTCCTGATCTTCCAATGCAATATTGATTTTGTTGTAGTCGGAATATCCATCCAAAAAGTAGTAGAATGACCTTCCCGCTAGCCGATCAAGCATTTGATCAATAAAAGGCATAGGGAAATGGTCCGTGCACGTAGCACTGTTTAGCTTCCGGTAATCCATGCAAACACTCCATCCGGTTACTGTTGTTGTTGGGATGAGCTCATTTCTGTCATTTTCAATGACGGTCATGCCTCCTTATTTTGGCACATATTACACTGGACTCACCCAAAAACTATCGCCAATGGGGTATACTACACCGGCATCTAACCACTTTATTATTTCTTTCTTTACGACCTCCTGCATGGAAGGGTTTAACTTTCGTTGATGCTCCACACTTGGTTTACTCTTATTCTCCAATTGTATCTTGTGTTTGCAAATTCCAGCAGGAATCCCTCGGATGTCCGCTATTGTCCACCTAATAGCTTGCCTATGCTCCCTTAAGACATTCAATAGTTGTTCTACCTGCACATCATTCAACAAAGAAGAAATGATTACCGGTAGAGTGTCATTAGAGCCAAGAAATTTATACCTCAAGTCGGTGGGAATGGTTTGAGCTCTAGTTGCAGCAGCTCAATAATTGAAGGCTTTGCGGGATGAGTGACTCTATTCTCTAAGTAGAGAGAGAGTTTCTTTGGAGCATAAGTGTAGGACCCAATCCCTTCCAATGCATTTACTGATTCCATGTACCCCTCCATATCTTTACCATTGAAATTTACCAAAATAGCCATCAATGCCTCACCAAGGTATTGTTCTTCCATCTTCATTTAAACTGCGTCTTCCACCTCATCAACAACATCAATCACCGATATGCTTTCATATTCATGTGGCAGTTTCATACCCTTGCTTGCTTGAAACGTGACCTCTTCATCATTCACACGGAACTTGATCTCATTCCGTTCCGAATCCATAAGTGCTCTTCCTGTAGCAAGAAATGGTATCCCCAAGATAATAGGTATCTCTTTGTCAACTGCATAATCAAGGATTACAAAATCGACGGGCAAATGGAACTCCCCCACTTTCACAAGAACATCATCAACAATTCCCACTGTTCTCTTTATGGAACGATCAGCCATTTGCAACCTCATATTTGTAGGTCGCGGCACACCTAACCCCACTTGCTTGTAAATGGAAAGAGGCATTAAGTTGATGCTAGCCCTATTATCACAAAGAGCTCTTGCAAAATCACGCGCCCCAATAGTGCATGGAATGGTGAAAGCTCCCGGGTCTTCTTTCTTTTGAACGGTGGTTGTTGCAATGATGAAACTAACCTGGTGAGTCACATTCACTAATTCATCCTTGGTGGTTTTCTTCTTGGTGATCAAGTCTTTCAAATACTTAGCAAAACCCGACGTCTCTTGAAATGCTTCCACAAATGGAATATTTACCGATAACTGCTTGAGAATGTTATAGAACTTTTCGAGTTTGCTATCATCAACCTTCCTAGCAAGTCTTTGAGGGAAAGGAGGAGGAGGAGTTCTAGGAATAGGTGGTAGAGTTTTTGGCGTCTCTTTATGTTTTCTTTAACCTCTTCCCGGTTCACTTCTTGAACTTTCAACTCTTCCGGGACCTTTTTAGCTTCAACAATAATTGGCTATTCAACTTGTACCTCAACCTCTTATTCAGACTCTTCCACTTCAACCACTTGTTCACTCTCTCCTTGAAGTACCTTCCCACTACGAGTAGTAATTGCCATGCAACAAGAAGCTGGATCACTGCCACTACCCTTTGGGTTCGCAATTGTGTCACTTAGAAGTCCCCTTTTGCTTTGGATTTTGTTCCCTAGAGAGATCTCTCATTTGCATCTCCAATTTTTGAATGGATGCAGTATGAGAACTGACAAGTTCGGTCATATTCCTCATTGAAGTGTTGGACCTTTCTTGATTTTGCAATACCCGTTCAAGCATGTTTTCCAACTTGGAATCACTTGAGGACCCTTGATTTGAAAATTGCCCTTTTGGTGGAACATAAGGGCTTGAACTTCGATTTGAGAAGTTTTTGTTGTTGTTATTCCAATTCCCTTTGATTTGAGCTACCTTGGTCATTTCACCACTGTTGGTTTCCTTGCCCTTGCGGGTTAGGCCTCCATTGATTTTGTTGTCCTTGACCTTGGTATTGTTGCCTTTGATAGCCTCCTTGAGAGTTGTTGACATAGTTTGCTTCCTCATAATCTTCATTTGATGTGGGTTGAACATCTTCCACAACATTTACCTTCATTGTTTGGCTTTCAGTGAACATCTTTGTCAACACATTAACATTGGTGGCAAGCTCTGCAATTACTTGATCTCTTTCTTGGTACTCCTTAATCATGTTGGTCAAGGAGGAAGTACCGTATGCAATTCCACCTGTGGTGTCCTCTGAGTGCCAAGCCTGCTTATGTTTTTCCATTTTGTCAAGGATTTGTGTGATCCTTGCAAAGGTCTAATCCATAAATGATCCATCAGCTGCATTCTTGGCTATAAATTGGTTCATAGCATCCAAACCTATGTAGAATTTCTCCAACAAGATAGAATTTAGAAAATCGTGATTAGGAGACCTTACCAAATATAACTTGAATCGATCCCATGCCTCATATAGATGTTCTGTCGGTAGTTGCTTGAAAAAGAAAATTTTATCCCGGAGCTCAGATTTCTTGCTTTGTGGGAACCATTTAGCTAAGAATGCTCGGACAAGTTCAGGCCAAGAATGGATTGAGTTTGGTGGTAGATTTTGAATCCATTTCCTCGTCTCTCCAGTCAATGAGTACTTGAACACCCTCAACCTTAGGGCATCATCTAAGACGTCGTTCTGCTTGTGCATTGCACACACACCCAAGAAGTTTCTGAGATGTTGTGTCGGATCATCATCAGTGGAATTCCTGAAAAACCCCTCTGCTTTAAGCATTAGGATTAAACCATGCTCCACCTTGAAAGTGGTAGCGTCAACTCTCGGAGGTACAATAGCATGTGTATCCTCAATGTACTCATCTATGTTCGCAAAAGGATTTTCTTATTCCTAATATATTCGGCCATGTTTTCCTATCAACACCAAGCAAAACAGCAAAGTATGATGTAATAGAAGAAGACGTAAAGTAAAGCACACACTAATTAATAATTTCAAAACCGTATTCCCCGGTAACGGTGCCAAAATTTGATACGCTCAAATTACACTTTAATTAAATAGTGTAAGGCGGTCGGTATCAATATAATAATCCAACAAGGTTGG